TGTGTACAATCTATAGGACCTGAAAGGACAAAGCTTGGGGCAGCCCCAGGAGATATGGAGTAGTGTGCCGACCTGTGAGCTGCCTTGCCAGCATAGCAGGCTATTTCCAGAGAACAGGGATGCCAATACCGACGGAGTCCAGTACCTTCACATCAGAATTTTGAATATAGTCTCCCAATATTTGCTACAAAGTGAAGACCTGCGAGCAAAGAAAATAATCCTGTGCTTTTTATCCTCCAAAAACGTGTTGTTAAGATCCTTTTCCCACCTGCACAAATATGGAGGGTCTTGCTTTAAAGTAGCTGCAAGAAAGATACTGTAAGAGAAAGAGAGAGATTTCCATATAAGCCCTGCTCCTGTGCATAGGTCCTCGAACAGAGTAGATTGTCTGCAGAAGCAGGTATGATCTGGGAGGAATCATAAAAAACACGATAGCCCCAAAGTAGTGGAGTTGAGAGCACCAAACAGGGCCAATGGGCCGGTCCATCCAGAGGGCTCAAAGAAAGTGGAGGCTCTGACCAAATTGGGGTCAGGTTGGAGCTGGAAGGCTTTATTAGTGTAACCCACAACAAAGAATGGGTGTTCAATGACAGGTGTCCATGGGCAAGGGAAGCTGGTAGTATTTGCAGAGTTAAAGTAGAGTGGGTTCAGTCAGGGGATGTTGATAGGAAAATTGAGAGTACTGGACCCTTGAAATTGGAAGGCCGGCCAAGGGACAAATTAATTTTACTGCCCGAGAGGTTGGAAAAAGCTGGTATTTAAGACAAGTTGAGTTTATTTTGCATACAGCATTAGCAAATGACCTGTTACACTTGTCACCAAATTCATAGAAAACTCTACAAGCTTGCATACCTTTATTTTTGGCTTGGAATAGTGAATGATCCCTAATTTGTCCTTGTATGCGAGTAAGCTCCGCTTCCAGGAGAGGGTCAGGCCAAGCTTTATGTTGTTTATCAAGGTTGGGTAGTTTAGATAGCAGGCTGCCAACATGTTCACCCTGTCCTGTTTAACTCTGTGGCCATGTTTAATCATCACCCCTCTGATGTAGCACTTGTGCGCTGCCCAGAGGGAAAGAGGACTAGATACTGATTCTTTTTTAGTCTTGAAAATAAGGCTCAGCTCTTTCAATACATCTGCCTTAACTGATCTAATGTGAATGTATAATATATGTAAAGTGCTGCATAATTTGATGGTGCTATATAAATACCTGTAATAAATAAAATAAAATAAATAAATCTGTCTTTTTTATTGGTTTTGATCAGTTCCTAAACTGTTACTAAAATGATGAACAAATATTATTTCTTCCATGATCAACTGATGTCCCCTTGTCCATGTTGGAAAAAAAAAATATATTATCCAAATTTATATTCTGACCAAATATTAACCTTACTGAGTGTGTGATCATGTGTGTGAACACAGTGTGTGAATAACTTCCAGGCACACTGAAAAAAAGTGTACATTTATTATACAGTGAGTTTCAGAATAGATACTGTATTTTGAGTTTGAATGCAGGAATCCTACATCTTTTTTTTCCTTCAATTCCCATGTGGCATCAAGTTGAAGTTCCCATGGTTCAGCTTTGTTCCTTTTTTTTCATGAAAGTAGTGCTAGTTTTTTCCTTTTTTACTGAAAATGAAAAGGTGTAGTTCCTCCTCCCATAGAGATACCAGTCTAGCACACCATGTATATTAGCATGCAGTATGTCCTTCAGCAATGGCTAGGTGCTTCAAGAGTGTGGTTATCTCAAAGCACCAACCCATTAACCCCAGGATATGTTTTAGAAAGTGAGAGTCATGTGAAGCTTCCCTTCCCTGCAAGAGATTCCTTTTTTGTTTATACAGCGTAGAAGTTAAATACGATTTACACACAGAGTTTAACATTCACGCAACATTCTTTTCACCATTTTATTTCTAATTAATAAAATGCAAATTTGATTGTATTCTATCTTGACAGTCCAATGCTAGGTCTTCTATTCATTAAAAAACTTGGTTAAGGGTTCCGTTAGAGAGAACACCACATCCCAGTGTTGTACTTTTAAACTTTGATTTCCACAATAATGATTCTAATAGAATAAGTATATTAACATGACAGTTTTACAAAAGATTCCCATGTTCTTTTTAAAGCGATATTAAACCCTCAGTTTTCAAGCACTTTTAGCAGCTGATTTATTCATTTATTAGGAAGATTTGGTATCTTTTATTCCTTGTTTCATTTTAAGCTAGTGCCATGACCTCTGCCCCAGATTTCCTGTTTCAAGGTGGGTCCTATGGAGTTACCTTTGCATGCAGGGACTAGAGCTGTATCTCCTTACACTGTGTACATCAATAGAAACATACAGCGCTTTAGCCTAGGATTGCAAGACACTCCTCTGCTCCTCCCCCTTCCGTCTCCAAAGTATAAGACTGACTAGAGACTGCACTGTCCACAGTTATCTCTTTCCTGTGAAGACCAGAATTTTAGGGATGCACCACTAAGAGAGCATGACTCAACATCAAGTTGTAAACTGCAAGCACTGAGATAGGAATTTTAATAAATAATTTACTGGGGAATGTTTATTTTATTGTGCTCTGTGTGTCAAGCTAAGAATGCTTAATGTATACTACTACATTAAACATAAATTGACGTCCCTGTATTTTTTTTTTTGTTGGCTCCATAATCTTCTCAGCATCACCACAACCCCTAAACCTGGCAGTGCTGAGTACATATAGTAAATAGCAACCTCCCCTAAATTTCTAAATCTAATGTGCATGCCTTACATACAGAAAGGCAAGAAGATTGTAAGTATGTGCTTGAAGGGTCATTGGATTTCACTGAAAATTCCCTTGGTGCAATTCCCACAATGTCATAGTTTCATTCATTCATTCCTGTCATTGTAAAGAGAGGGAAGTTCTTTTATAATTTTGGTAAAAGCAGAAAAAAAATACAGTATAAGGGGGAATGCCAAATTATGAGTAAAGTTGAATAGCTAGGTTGGATTTTTGTAGCCAATTGCTAGCTCATAGGCATACATTTTTTAATATGTCTGTCCTAACATGATTTCGTCAGTACCCAATCCGATTAACACTTTAAAGCAGAACTAAACTCACCAATTTAACTATTTCCAAAAAGAAACTCGAGTTAGAAAGGTTACAAATGTTATTAGATCCCTAATCAAACATACCAATGTTGTTTTCTGCCGTGTTTTCCTTTAAATTCTGCTAACTAGCACATACGCAGTGTAACATACATTCAAGACATGCCTCTAGTGATAACTGTCACAGTTGCCAGGGTGTTCATGTGAGCTCCAAAATGATCTTTTAAACCTTCAAATGACTGGTGTCAGAGCTGGTCACATGTGCAGGCTCATGGCAATGCCAGATCTTATAAGAAACTAAGGTGGTGTTGTGGCAGATAGCAGAACAGGAGGTTTTCATTCCACTTAAATGCTATGCTTAAGCCATGAACATTAGAGGAAAGTCTTTTATTGCAAACAGCGTTGATGATTGTTAGAAGGGAAAAGACTTAGAAAGCTTCATAAACAGCATAAAGAAAAATCCGCTGGCTTTAAAATATCAGAGTGTGAATGATAAAAAAAATGTTTTCTACTGTATACTGTGTATTGCTTCCAATTTATGGTCCACAGTGCTTCCAGTATGGGCATCATCTAAGCAAGAGCACTTGTAAGTTGGTAGGGTTTTAGTAGTATATTAAAAAAATAAGTACATACATCTTGTAACATCTGCTCTCTTTGCCCTCTGATCCTGTCATACCAATTTAATTTAAATTATAATTTTTTTAAAATCTCATTTTGTGTGATACAAAGGAAACTGTAATAGAAGTCCAACTGAATGTTAAAGGAGAAGTATAGCCAAAGCTATTTTGGCTATGCTTCTCCTGTAGGTCAAGTTCTGCGCTCTTTTTACACTAAAGCCCACTGTTGGCTGATGTCACAGAGCTGGTCCAGGCTCTGAAAAGATCCCAACAATATTCTCAGGATCCACCCAGAAGCCTGGACCAGCACCTGGCTCAGCCTCCCAGTGATCCGCCGAGAGCCTGAGATGGCCTCTCCCGTCCCCTCCACAGCCATGGCTCCAGCCCCAGTGCTGAGAGCGGAGGGGGAAAACTGAGTGATCATGGTGTTTGATTGCTCAGTTCTCTGGGCAGAGCCAGCAAAGGACAGACACAGCTCAGATTAATGCTTCATACAGATGCAGCATCAGGTTGATGCTTCATTGACCTAGGTGAGTATATATATATATATATATATATATATATATAATTTTTTTTTTTTGGTTAGAATTGTATACTTCTCATTTAAGTGATCTAATTCTTACTACTTGTTTAGCTGGCAAACCTGCACACATAGATCCTGCCCACCCCAATTGTGAAGGACCATTGCTTACTGAAGGGAATCAGCTGCCTTTGTGTATTAATCTTTTTGATAATCAGAGCTTGAGCTTTCCACTCAACAAAGTTCACACACCCCTTCTAATTGGAGTGCTCTATTTCTCACTATCAGGGGGGCATATCAGACTGTTGCATGAAGGCCTTTCCTTCTACACAGAGAGCAATAGTTTTTCTTTGTGGAACGGATATTTTACCATGACTATGTCTGCTTTACCAACTTAAAGTGAACCTCCACTCATCTGAACACCACAAACCAAAAATTGTATTTAATTCATTTTTAATATTCAAAGCAAACTCCCCCATCTATGTCTGCAAGTTTTATTTTGCTGATAAAAATTTTTGAAAACCCCCCCTGGCATTTCTGGCAGTGGTTATCTTGAGTAAGGACAGATGATTCATGTAGCATTTACTTCCTGGAATCCATCTGCCCTTAGCGCAGGCATAGGCTGAGCTGAACTGAGCTGAGATCCCTCCTTCTCCTCCTGAAGACACCTGGGATATATTACATCATTTGCCTAGGTATGGAAACAAGGAAGTAAATAAAGAAATGTAAAAAAAAAGTTTAATACTTGATCAGGGGCGGACTGACAACTCATGGGGCCCCCGGGCAATAGGGGATCATGGGGCCCCTGTGTCCTTGCCCAAACTCAAAAAAGCCTATGAAAAAGGTACCAGGGGCATCTCATGGGGCCCCCTACTGACCCCGGGCCCTCGAGCAATGACCGAGTTTCCAAATGGTCAGTCCGCCCCTGTACTTGATATACTTTCCTATCTATTTACTAATGATAGCAGTATAAGGATTACAAATAGTCCATGTTTATTTAGAGAGTGAAGTTCTGCTTTAACAAATGGCAAGACTGGGATCACGTACCGTTTAACTGCAATTAGTTGTGCCTTATTTGGCCTTTATTTTTCTCTAAAGGAAATTTAAGAGGACACCGAGGAACCTCATGGAATACATTTTTATTCAAAGAACAGTGCAATGCGCAAAGTGTTAAGTCCAGTCACCCAAATCCATAGTACCCAAGTCCAAGATGATTTCTAGTTGGATGCTCTAGGTACTGTACTTAGCTCTTTACTTCTTTCACTCTTTATTAGAGACAGAAAATATAGAAATTTTTTTATGTTATATAAACAACTTCTAAGTTCACAGTTTATCTTTTTTTTATTTATTTAATTTTTGTCAACAGCTGTTGGTTATGGTATTGCTCAAGTTAAAATAACAGTGCTCCATGAGTTCAATGGAAAGTTAAATAATGGAAATTATCTTAAAGAACAGACGAGCTACAGGTGGAGAAAATCTCATGCGAAAGACCAAACATGGAAAATGCCACTTCTGCCAAAATATTTTTGTATAACTATGATTAAAAAAAGAAATAATCAGTACAATATCAAAGGCAAAGTAGATAAAGGTATTTCAATGAGAAAGTAATAGCACTGTACATATAGACACAAAGAAGTGTAAATACAACCACATCTACTTTAAAATTGAAAGATGGATAATATTAAGTGATTATCCTGCTAAAACAAGAATAATCACTGAATTGTGCTACACACTGTATCTATGATCTGTTGCTCATAGTAGGCACATCAAACTATACTTGTTGTGCCATTTCTTTTATTTTATATTATAATGTAAGTGGCATTCAGAGTTCCTCACTACCCGTTTCATTTAATAATTGGAAAAACTGTAACAAGGGCATGTGTCAACATGACTTTGAGATCTATTTGCCATTCATACTGACCTGTAAGAAATAAAGAAAGAAAGTAAAATGTTATCTCAAACTAACTTCAAAGAGTACCTATAAGGCTACAATATGGGTGCTGCCATTGCTGCTCTATTTGAAAGCGCTAAGGCTGATATTCTGATCCTGGCATCAATGCAAGCAAGTCAATGGCATATCACAAAAAAAAAGAATGGAAATGTAGATTTTTCCTACTTTAATAGTTGCATGCTTTCTCCAGGTCAGTGCCTTTCTAAGTAGTGAAACCATGATCAGAAAGGAATCCTAGAGCCCAAAACTTAAAAAAACCAAATGAGTAAATCCAGCACCCTGCAGGTTCAGTTTAACTAATCTCAAAAGCCTGTGTGAGACTCATATACTGTACGTCCAGAGTGAAGACAGTGAGGGACGTTTTGATGAAACCTAGAATTGGTAAGAAGACCCATTTATCAACCACACTCAAATGAGTAAAAATAAAATAGCCTGTAATGTAATTGATTAATATAAGTAGAGGTGCCTGGAGTTTAGCAATTTTCCTCAAGTGGTGTCCATCCACTGGAAAAGATTCAATTTTCTCTACTCTGGGTGGCAAAGTACTCCAAGGCAAAATGCCCATGTCTTATGCTTTTTTATTCATGAATGGTATGAGCATTCATGAATGGTATCAGCTCCAAATTAATTAAAAACACATAGTTTAAGTACCTTATCGATATAATATCTGTTTGTAATAAATTAAAACATTACCTTCAATTTATTTTTTTTGAAGGGGAGGGGGAGTGGCAAATTTACTGTTTGCTTCAGACAGCAAAAGAAAAAATCTACAGTGATTCTTGTTGATTAGCATCCACCTTTACTTCTCATAGTAGTCTAGTAATATATAAGATAATGCTTTGGAGAATTTAAGCTGATGCAAGTTCTTAGTGATCAAGCATATACTGTATGTGTTTTTTCCCTCTTGTGTTAGTCTTCATACGAACAAAACTGGTACAAAAATCTATAAATACCTAAAACATCTGATATAGTGACCTGCTTCCTTTATTGGCAAAAAAAAAAACATTTTCAGACAGAGTTGCTATTACAAACCCTGGATTAGAAAAGCAATACTAACTTATTGTTTTAGATTTTTTTTGGGGTGGGGGCTGCAAATGATGGCCCAAAGTATTCTAAATGAAGAAAGAAACATACACATTACATCTATTTTTTGTATCAACAAAAAGAAATAAAGAATTGAGTAAGTTGATTATTTTTTTTATTCATCTGAAATTGATTTGAGGCACTGAGGTGAAAGTATGACTAGTTTTGATCAGGATTAAACGTTGACCCTACCAGTGCATATTATAATACGCTTAGAGTTGGTGTAACTTTGTTCAGACAGTATGAGTATGTCTCAGAAATAAGGATGACAGTAATGTTTGTTTTATGTTTTGTAGAGGGTGAAGGTAGCCAAAAAGAAGGCACAGAAGCCAGACATAAATGGCTAAACGTGTTATGACCGCCCAACAAGCAGAAAATACACAGGTAGATAATTTCTCTGTAACCAGTAAGTGGACTATCAATAGTCAGTCACTTCCAGACAAGAAACAAGCGGTGGATAACCTTTTGGGTGGTTACCCAAACAAGCTGGAAATGATCAGATATAGATATTGCTGTGATAACGTAACACAACACAGCAAAAGACAACACAACAAAACATAACTATAACTGTGGCTTGATAACTTCATATTAAAAACCTAGTAACTTAGCAACAGAAGGGTCATGGGAATTGTATTATCCTGAAAACTGCTGTGTGGTCATAATTGGAAGAAGTGTACTTGGTAAAAATGCTTATTGCTGATTTCAGCATAACTGAAACATACACAATGACTTAATACATTACCACCAGCACAGGTCAAAGCAAGACAACATTCACTATAAGGTAACTGCTACCTAAACCAGTCTGGATAGTAAAAAATACAAAAGTTGTGACATGCAGGAGTTGTGTTGGTCCTTGATGTTATGTTAGTCACTTAAGACAGAAATGCCTCCATGACCTAAGGAAGTCAAATTCTGGTACAAATTGTGTGGTGCATCTCCAGGAACCAGAGACAGTTACAACTAGTAGTGTTTTCTATAAAGGGCACAAATGGATTACAAGGCAGAAGAACCACCAGTGTGTGGCAAGTGTTAGCCAATGTTTTTTGAGGCAGATCATGGCAATCCTCACATATTGAGGTGTATTGAGCTCTGTGGATACTGTGACAAGTTTCATTGGGGATTTTAGAGCACTTTTCATACTATCAAGCATAGAAGACGATGTGCACCATGGGCCCGGTTGTGAGCAGCCTTTATAAGCACACAGAGACCAGTCCAGAGGCTTATTTGCAAGCAGTGGTGCATAATTGCTGCTATTTACTGCTATAAACAAAGGTGGTAGACAGTACTCCAAAATGAACAAAACTTCAAAAAACAAAAAACCTAGCCATTTCTCAACACTAACTTTACCTCAACCACCCTCACCAACATACTGAACAAGTCTAGAGCTTTCCAGCCTGAAAATGTCCAGTTTTCTCAGGTATCACAAACCTTTAGCGTCTACAGATTCAATCCTGCTCAGGCTGAATAACCCTGTCAGTGTGCATTACTGCCTGTCTGGGAGATGTACTGTACATTCCTGGGGTGGTCTTAGGCAAGAACCTGGCCAGTGCCTCTCCATAAAACATCCTGCTACAGCACTAAAGCAATGAGAGAGGTTTACCTGTGGTACCAGGCTATGAACATTCAGCTATTTACATATTTTTAACAAGCAGTTAAAGTTGTTTAACACTAACCCTAACTGGCTTCTGTAACTACTGCACCATTGAGTAGTTAATACTTAAAGTTCGTAGGAAAAACTACTTTCACTTTAATTTTCTCTCTGTAAATCATTCTGTGTCCCACCCCCCCCCACACACACACACACACGTACACACACCTGCAAGCAATGGGAACTTATTTGAGGATTAATAATGGGCTAATGTATTTGGGTTCGATATGCATACAGCGTATCAAACTCATCATAAAATCCACAAACTGCATATTTTATTCTGAACCCTTGTGAAGCCAATGAGGGGCAATTCTTCAAAATAAATTCTGGGCATTTTTTAAGCTAATAGGCAATGGACATAGGCATAGGTGGTGGGCACTGCCAGGGGGTACATGTACCAATGCAAAAAAATAATACAGATCAGCAGGATGGGGGTCTTCCATTTTATGTGACTTCAAGGGCAACACCAATTTGCAAATTACTTGCTTGTGAGATGCCATTAAGCTACAGTATATGTGTGCTTAGTTAGTAGTACGATTCTAAGGAAGAATGACAGTGACACTGTATTCTGGCATTGCATAATTTGCATGTGTAAGATATATTTGATGCATCATCACATATATTTTACATCATTCACTGGCTTGCATACAGCAGAAGCACCCAATCTCATTAGTTTTATCTTAAAAAAGTATTTTAGGTACTTTTTGTTGCAACACGTGATTTTTTATCTGGCAGTAATAGGACAGAATTGAGTCAAAGTAGTAAGCCTCTTCACTAAGCTGAAATTTGAGAGAGAGAGAGAGAGAGAGAGAGAGAGAGAGAGAGAGAAAGAGAGAGAGGAGGCAGGTTTTAATGTGAAGTAAAAATTACAGTGTATTAAGTCAAAGAAAAGATCCATAAAATAGCACAGACATGTTTCACTTGCTGTAAGACTTTTTAGTAAGCAGCACTTGAAGAGAGATAATGCACTTTTTATCAATAAATAAAAAATTACAGGGGATAATGTGAGAGAAAAGAGCCAGAAATATAGCACAAACATGTTGCCCATATCTTGTAAGCCTTTACTAGGCAATATTCCAAAAGGGAGGCAAGGCAGGTTTTAATATGAAATTTTAATTATAATGTATTATGTCACAAAAAGGACCAGACAGTAGAACAGACATGCTGCACATCATGGAATCCTTTCAGTTGGCCACCGTTGCAGAAAGAGAGAGAGACAAGGCACTTTTTAACAAGAACCAGAGATGTAGACACGCTGCCTTTTTATTCAGCTACATTTCAAGAGGGA